GTAATGACGTTCGGCGGAAACAGTCCGAGGTGTTGAAGCTGCAAGTCGCCGCCGTGTGTAAGCTGGCTAGCACAATGGCCGACACTGTCATCTTCTCTGGGCCCCTACCTAGCACTAGCAGTGCAGAAGCATTCAGCAGACACTCGGCTTTCAACCGCTGGCTGTCTGGCTGGTGCCCTCGAAGTGGTGTTGTTCATGTTGACAATTGGAGTGCCTTTTGGGGAAAGCCCGGTCTCATCCGCTCGGATGATATCCACCCAACGTTGGCGGGTACATCCCTTTTGGCTAAGAATTTGGCCCTGGCTCTAAACTGTTCTGCTCGGCTCAAATGACGGTGCAGAACTGAGGCCCGGGTGCAGAGCTGCTCTGCCACAACCTCTGAGCCCCCATCTGTTCAGTTACTAGCCTCAGAAGCTAGTCAGATTGAAACTGTGTGTGCATGTGTGTGTGTGCCTGTGTGTGCTCAGTTACTAGCCTCAGAACCTAGTCAGATTGAAACTGTGTGTGTTCCCCGCTTGAAGTCTAAAGCACTATATGCGAAGAAATCTGACCTAGGTGTCAGACACAGTAACTTAATAAAAGTTCAGACAGACAGAAATAGTTCTAGCGGTAGGGTTGTTAAATGTGGTTTAATGAACGTCAGATCAATCTCGTCTAAATCGCTTCTCATAAACGAACTTATTATAGACAAGGGCTTGGATCTGTTTGCGCTCTCGGAGACTTGGCTCCGACAGGACGACTACGTTAGATTGAATGAGTGCACTCCTCCGACGCATGTTAACTACCAGAAAGCCAGAGCTACAGGTCGCGGCGGTGGTGTTGCGATTATATCACACACCAACTTGGTTCTTAGTCCCAAAACCAACAACGCTTTTCACTCGTTTGAAAACTTAACACTTTCAATCACCTGTCCTGGGTGGAGAAAACAAAAAGCAGTACTATTTATAGTTTTATACCGACCTCCTGGTCCTTACAGCGAGTTCCTAACAGAATTCTCTGACTTCATTTCAAACCTAGTTTTGGAATGGGAAAACATAGTTATAGCTGGAGACTTCAATATACATGTGGACGACAGCACTGACAGCTTAAACAAAGCTTTCAGCGCCGTACTAGATGGTGTTGGTTTTACTCAGAATGTCGAGGAACCTACTCACATTCATAACCACACCTTGGACCTTGTCCTGACCTACGGCTGTGATGTCTCCAATGTTGACATCCAGCGTCAAAGCTCGTTGCTGTCTGACCATTTCTTGATCACGTTTGATCTCGCTTTGGAGGACTTTCCTGTCCCGCAAGATAAAACCATAATGAAAAGAACCTTAAATGATAAATCTATCACAAGGTTCAAAGAACTAATACAGCCTATGTTGAATACTGCTGCAGGTGAACCTGTTCACAGCAGCTGCAGTCCCTCAGTCATTGACCAAACGGTGGGCAACACTATGGAGTCTTTAAAATCTGCATTAAATGCAGCAGCTCCTTTAAAACAGAAAACCATTAGGATTAGATCATCGTCGCCCTGGTACAGTGTTCAACTCCACACTTTAAAACAGGACGTCAGAAAATTGGAGAGGCTATATCGCCACTCCCACTCGGAGCCTGTCCACAGGCCTTTAGGCCTTTAGGGGTCGTCAAGAGCCACAGTGGGACGGCTGTAAAGTGCCAAACTTTCTGAAGCAAGTCACTTCTCCGGGATTGACTTATGAATCTGTTGTGTCTGAATGATGGATGTGGTTTGATGGGCACAAAGCACACATTCGTAACCTTGCTTCCATCAGTCTGGCCCAGGGCAGCTGTGGCTACAGTGGTAGTTTGTGTATAGAGTCAATGAATAATTCCATGAGTGTCAAGAAACTCAATAAATTAAACCGACACCCACGGTTTTACCTCCCTTACACTGCAAACAAGTTAATCATAGCTGTTTTTCCTCATATGAACTAAATCACATATATCAACATGTACAATTAAGATATCAAGCGAGGAAAGAGCTTGGAGTAGATCTGCTGCTCATCCCCTTTGAATGGAGCCAGTTGAAGTGGATTACCCAAAGGAGCTAGAAGCGGTGTGTGTCTGACTGCCGCCTGCATGACCTACCCGGCAACAGATCAAGTGGAAGAATGTGGATGGACAGATTTTTTAAAGTGCAGTCAGGTGTCATCCCAAAGAGTCACAATGGTTTGGATTTGAAATACACGTTTTGGGTGTAAAGTCAGGCACCCCAGCTTTAATATGCCCTGTGTGTGTTCTATATTTACTGCAACAATATGTGCGTGGCTTTTGGCTCTCACTTTTCCAGGTTTGTCTCGTCATCAAAGCTTCAGAAGTCACTGCAGACATTATTGCAGGGATGACAAGTGAAAAACCCTCTCCCTCCCTGTCTCGCTCGCCCCTCATCACCCAACTCTCTCACTCTCCGTCTTTCTCTCTCCCTGTCTTTCTGTCTCTCTCTCAATCAATCAATCAATCAAATCTTCTCTGTCTCTCTCTTTCTCTCTCTCTCTGGCGCTCTGTCTCTCTCTCTCTCTCTGTCTGTCTGTCTGTCTCTCTCTCCCGCTCTCTCTCTCTCTCTTACCCTCTGTCTGTCTCTCCAACCCTCCTCCTCTCTTTCTCTCTCTGTCTCTCACTCTCCTTCTCTAACCCTAACCCTGTCTTTCTATCCCTCTCTCTTCCTCTCACTGTCTCTCTCTATCTCTCCTACCCTCTCTCTTTTTCTCCAACCCTCCTCCTCTCTTTCTCTCTCTCTGTCTCTCACTCTCCTTCTCTAACCCTAACCCTGTCTTTCTGTCTCTCGCACTCTCTCTCTCTCTGTCTCTCTGTGTCCCTCTCTTACCCTGTCTCTGTCTCTCTCCCTCTGCCTCTCTCTATCTCACCCTCTCTGCCTCTGCCTCTCTCTTTCTCTCTCTCTCCCACTCTCTCTCTTTCTCTCCTTCTCTCTCTCTATCTCTCTTACCCTCTGTCTCTCTCCAACCCTCCTCCTCTCTTTCTCTCTGTCTCTCACTCTCCTTGTCCAACCCTAACCCTGTATTTATCTCTCTCTCTGTCTCACTCTCCTTGTCTAACCCTAATCCTGTTTCTCTCTCCCGCACTCTGTCTCTCTCTGTGTCCCTCTCTTACCCTGTCTCTGTCTCTCTCCCTCTGCCTTTCTCTCTCCACCTCTCCCCCCTCTCCCCCCTCTCCCTCTCTCTCTCTCTCCTCCCTGTATTGATGATTAGCTGATGCCGTGCAGTGGGACCAGGTGTAATTAAAGATCTGTGTCAGTTCTGCTCAGCGCTCGCACAGAGAGCACCAGACCAAGCGATGGCGCTAATAAGGCTTTATATTGTAAACAACACGCACACCTGGACAGCAAGACCCCCGAGGGTAAGAGAGGGGGGGGGGGGGGGGGGGGCATGGGGTGGAGAGGAGTCAACGGAGAAAGAAAGTTTGAGAGAGAGGGCACAGAAGAAGAAGTGTGTTCAAAGCAGACAAGAAGTTTGGACCCACACAAAAAAGAAATAGTCTCTGTTGAGGTTTGTTTTTGGGTTGTTTCTGTTGTAACTGAAATCTAGTTGTTGCTTAATATATCAGACAAAAACAAAATAGATATAAAAGAGGAGATTTAGGAGACACTGAACAGTTACAAGATACATACAGAGATAAAAGAAAATAAATATACAAACAAATATGCAAATGTACATACATACAAGGAGAGAGAGAGAGAGAGAGAAAGAGAGAGAGACTAAAGAGAGACTATAGAGGGAGACCAGAGAGACAGAGAGAGACCAGAGAGACCAGAGAGACCAGAGAGACCAGAGAGACAGAGAGACCAGAGAGACCAGAGAGACAGAGAGACCAGAGAGACCAGAGAGACCAGAGAGACAGAGAGACCAGAGAGACCAGAGAGACAGAGAGACCAGAGAGGCAGAGACCAGAGAGACAGAGACCAGAGAGGCAGAGACCAGAGAGACAGAGACAGAGACCAGAGAGGCAGAGACAGAGACCAGAGAGACAGAGAGGCAGAGACCAGAGAGGCAGAGAGACCAGAGAGACAGAGACCAGAGAGGCAGAGACCAGAGAGACAGAGACAGAGACCAGAGAGACAGAGAGGCAGAGACAGAGACCAGAGAGACAGAGAGGCAGAGACCAGAGAGACAGAGAGACCAGAGAGGCAGAGACCAGAGGGACAGAGACCAGAGAGACAGAGACCAGAGAGGCAGAGACAGAGACAGAGACAGAGAGGCAGAGATCAGAGAGACAGAGACAGAGACCAGAGAGAAAGAGACCAGAGAGACCGAGTCCAGAGAGAAAGACCGAGACCAGAGAGACTGTTTTTTTGTTTTTGTTTTTTTATATTTAATTCTTAGAGAGAGGCGCCACAGACGAAGAGACCGCACAGCTAGAGACACCCCCCCATATATATCAGCAGTGATGTCACCACCAGGTCACAGTGGATTTGTCTGTCAGGGGGGTCAGGCAGAACGGCCAAAGAGTGACCATTGACAGCAGGACATCCAGACAATTCCTCCCAACAGTTTCCTCATCAAACAAATATCTGAAATTATTTTTGTTTGCACACAAGTGATATTAGGACTTCGATGCTGAGTGTAATCAGTTTAAACCAGTTTTCATTTACAGTTTGCTATGACTCGGACTGAGCTGCTAGGCGCCTTTTTAAAACCAAATCATCATACTTTTTTGTGGATTTTTTGTGGACCAGTTCTGACTTTGTGTGATATTGTGTTTTTGTAATGTTGAATTAATAAAATATATTTTCTATGTATTGCAAAGAGTAAGTAGTATTCTTTTCAGAGAACAGTTCAATTTAGCATACAGTATTATGGTGAATCTCCGCTGGTTTTTGCGCTTGTCTACAAATCTGCTCCGATTACCCCAGTGTGTGCGTGTGTCTTTGTGCATGCGTGTGTGTGTGTGACTGTGTTTGTTGGGTCAGTGTCTGCTGGATGAAGCTGGAAGTCTTGTTTTTGACTGGTCCTTCTCTTTTCTCTGTGTCTCCAGTGAACATGCTGTCGGCTTTGATGGCTCCGTTCAAATACATGAGCCCAGGGACCAGCAGCAGCAGCACCAGCGAGGAGGACGAGGACTGTCTCAGTGAGTCACACACCGACACCAGAGGACAGTCTAAAACATTATTGTATGGTCTCCTCTGCTTGGTTTGTGTTTGTGTTTTCAACTGAACTCCTGTCATGGGGCCGGGCCAATCCATGGAGCGACCACTGCAGAAGGAGGGACAATGCTTTTCATACTAGACAGACTGCTTCTATTTAAGGCTAAAGTTAGAGATTTATTTTATTTTAGTATAGAGTTATTATTCATTTATCTTGTGCTGTGTGCGCCTCATTCCGTCTGTTCTGTCTGGTATTAAAACGATATTTCTCTGTGGATCAAATCTCTGTGATGCTTTTAAGCCAAACTCGTTAACTCACAAACAACACATTATTCTGTAACAAAAGTAAATCAGATTTAACGATAAAAGGCCTGTTCTTTCTTCTCTGTCGCGAGTGTGAGTGTGTGTGTGTGTGAGTGTGTGTGTCGGTGTGCGTGTGTGCGTGTGCGTGTGCGTGTGTGTGTGTGCGTGTGCGAGTGTGTGTGTGCGAGTGTGTATGTTTGCGTGCTAGTGTGTATGTGTGTGTGTCCGAGAGTGTGTGTGTGAGTGTGGATGTGTGTGTGCCTGTGTGTATGCGTGTGTGTGTACGTGTGTGCCAGTGTGTGTGTGTGTGCCAGTGTGTATTTATGTGTGCAAGTGCGTCTATGTGTGTGTGTACGAGCGTGTGTATGTGTGTGTGTGTCCGAGAGTGTGTGTGCCAGTGTGTATGTGTGTGTGTGCCAGTGCGTATGTGTGTGTGTGTACGTGTGTGCCAGTGTGTGCAAGTGCATGTCTGTGTGTGTGTGTGTGTGTGTGAGTGTGTACAGTATGTGTGTCCAAGAGTATGTGCATGCCAGTGTGTATGTGTGTGCGCGTGCAAGTGTGTATGTGTTTGTGTCCGAGAGTGTGTGTGCCAGTGTGCGTGTGTGTGCGTGTGCAAGTGTGTATGTGTTTGTGTCCGAGAGTGTGTGTGCCAGTGTGTATGCGTGTGTGTACGTCCAAGTGCGTGTCTGTGTGTCCGTGCGAGTGTGGATGTGTGTGTATGCGTGTGTGTACGTCCAAGTGCGTGTCTGTGTGTCCGTGCGAGTGTGGATGTGTGTGTGTACGTGTGTGCCAGTTTGTATTTACAGTGTGTGTGCAAGTGCGTGTCTGTGTGTGTGTGTGTGTGCGAGTGTGTTTGCGGCGGCGGCTCAAATGAGAAAACGGCCGTGGCCTCAGCAGAACGTCACGAGTGCAGCGTTTAATACGGCGCTGATTGCTCTGTCAGACTCTTCATTAATTATTTGAAAATGCTTGATTTGATTTGTACGGGTGTCGCCTCGTGTCACAATCATTCACAGGCGTTTTTGAAAAGAGCAGTTGGATGAAATGACCACAGATCTTCATAATCATATTTATATAGATCAAGACTCTTTAATCGCAGACGAAAAGGCAGATTCTGATCTAAGACTGTGGGAAATTAGCATCACTTTGAATTTATTATTAGTTCATTCTTCTCTGTAACTCTGTAATGCTTTTGTGTGGCCTCCTGCACCGCTAACAGTGGACATTGAGACATTTTCATAGTGTCATCCAGCCAACTTTAGCTCCACCAATTTAGTCATGCTGTACCTTCTTGTAAAACTCAGAATCTCTGGAATAAAATTGTCAACCGAATTATTATTTTCGGACATTTATTTTTGACTATGTCCTAAAATTCCATAAATGGGACTGATGCAGCGGATATGTGAATCCGTATGGACACAGTATCGTACCTTCAAAACTGTTTTCAAGTCTGTGTTGTCTGGACCTCTGTCTAAAAACGTTTGGACACTGGTGCTGTAATGAATTCAAACTGCTAATTTAGATATGTTGAAATATTATCAACACTGTCAGCAAACAAACTAACACATTTTTCATCAACCGTCCACTTTTTATCATGTAACATTTTATGGATATTTAGGCTTTGAAAATACTCCAAATTGGACATAAGTATTAATGAGTATGTGCGTCATTTCTTCAGCTTGCGTTCAGTGATGAGCAGGGACGGATGAGCGCTGCTTCTGATTGGCTCTTTGGTTGCTATGTGGTTGCTACCGAAAAATTTGTAGGTAGCAATCTACGAAGCCCGTTTGAGTCAACTCTACTCGGCCTCTTCTAAAAACTTTTATTTTATTTTATATATACTCTCTCCTCTGGTCATTTTCCCATTCTGGCCAACTCTCATTGACATCTACATGTTTAGGGGAGGCAGGTTTAATTGTATAGCACAGCTCATACATAAGGCAACTCCAAGTGCTTAACTCATTCAAACGTTCACTACTCCTCGAGACTCCTCGAGACTCCTCGAGACTCCTCAAGGCTCCGGTGCAAGTTGAATATTTTATGTGTACCTATGACAATCCTTTAAGTGTATTGTGTGTACCTGTTTAATTTGTTTAAAAATAATTATACATTTAAAAGTATTGTTACTGTTTTGTGTCACAATAAGAAACTGTCATACGTTGTAAAATATCAGTAAAGAAAAAACAAACACTTTTCTGCTTGAAAATGTGTGTTTCACAAAAAGGCTGTTTTCTCCATATCTTGGTCAGGAAACAGCATTTTGTGTGAAAGTTACCTGTGTTGTACTCTCAATTGCTAAAAAACTAAAAGGGGTAGGCACTTACTTTTTAAAAAGAATTAAAGGCAAGAGACAGAGCTTTCATTTGGTATGTTTCATTCTTGTGTCAACCAAGGACTTAGATTTATATCAGGTTTGGAAAAACACTAAAAATATCAAAAATCTCTGGGAGTATGAGGGATGCTGCTTTATACATGGCTGGCAGTGAATGAGTGAATATAAAAAAGAAACAAAAGAAAACAAGGCATACCCATCCATAAATATTCATCAATTATAAAATCTTTTCCATTTCAGAAATAGTAAACGCCCATGGTATATACCATATAGCCTCAAGATCATGATATAGGGTCAAAATTCATAATATCGATCTATAAAGAAGAAGAAATACAAACCGTACAGTCTGGCTTAAAACATGTACTCCTCAAAACACAATTCTAGTTTCATAGAATTCTGCGACATTCCCATTGATCACAAACAAAATGGCACCAGTTTGGCCACAATTAGAATTTATGGATTAAGAGACCAGAGAATGTCCCATTTTTCAAGCATTTGTCTGAGGTTTGAAAGCGCTGGTCCTGGCCGCGCACAGGAGAACCTCTCTGGGACTTGCTCATGTTTCATTGTGTGCAGAGTTCAATTCGCCTGCAGAGATTTTCCTTTGTGCTTTTGTTCTGCTTTGGTAAACTTTGACACAATAACAATTCTGTGATGGGAGGATTTTAGGTCTCACATTTAAAACAACTGCAATACTGCATTTTCTTGTTTTGAATGTTGATATGTAAAATAGCGTTGGAAGAATATACAACAAAATCAAACGAGGGTCACAGATTACAGTCACTAAGTCAAATCCATGTATTATACTGTCACCAGACCTGCATTTTAGTTTGGAACCCCAATATAACATTTAAACTAAGTTTTAAAAGGCAAATACAGTATATTGAAATTGCAGTTAAAGGTAAATGAATAGGTTCATGAAAGACTATTTTTAGTAATTACATGAACCAATGGTAAGGTCTTTATTGTGTGTGATCTGACTCATCTGGTTATGGAGTTATGTTCGTATACATAACTCATCTGGAGTTATGTATACGGACATTTAGGACATTTAAATATACATGTATTAGACCAAATAGTGTAAAAAATTAACGCATTTAAACATTTCACAACATGTTATTTTCAACCACAGCCGCAGCACAGGCAGATTTGGGAATATCTCCAGTCAAATAATCAGTCATGGTGGATGTAATTTCCCACTTCTACCAGATTGGGGGTGTGTCACTCTTGCAGATCTTTTCTTTTTCACATATTGATCCATATCCTTACAAAACACATGATTTAACATCCTATAACATGAACTGCTCAAGTTAGTCGGTTGTTACTAATTCCATATTCTCACTGCAGGCACCAGCAGCGCAGAGGTGAAAGAAAACCGCAACATCGACAACTTGGAGGAGCGCTCTCTCGGCTCTACGGACTCGCTCTTCTGCTCCGAGTTGTCGCGGAGCAGCTCCAGTCGTTCCGGTCTGAAACGCAAGCGCCCCCTGGAGGAGGACAACAACGGACGCATCTGCCAACTGAGGCTAATCTACAAGAAACTCTCCTGGTCCGACGCGCCTAAGAACGCTTTGGTCCAGCTCAACGAACTCAAACCAGGCCTGCAGTATCGGATGGTGTCTCAAACCGGGCCTGTCCACGCACCGGTCTTCTCCATCGCTGTGGAGGTCAACGGCTTGACCTTCGAAGGGGCGGGTCCCACCAAGAAAAAAGCCAAAATGCGCGCGGCAGAGTTAGCTTTGAAGTCTTTTGTCCAGTTTCCGAACGCGCCCCAAGCTCACCTAGCCATGGGTAACATCACCAACCCATCCGCGGACTTCACCTCGGACCAGGCGGACTTTTCGGACACGCTTTTTAAAGAGTTCAAATCCAGCTCCGGCGACGATTTGCTTTCAAACGAGCTCCTAAGACACGAGAGCCTCCTCAGACACACCTTAGACCTGATGGTGCAGGCGCAGCAGAGACTGGGAGGCATCGTCCCGCCGCCAGATGCGCCAAAAAGTCCCGTGGCGATACTCAACGACCTACGACCGGGACTACGGTACGCCTGCTTATCGGAGCGGTCGGAGGGGAGGCGCTTGCGGAGCTTCGTGATGGCGGTGAGAGTCGACGGACGGATATTCGAAGGTTGCGGCCGCAGTAAGAAGATGGCCAAGATCCAAGCGGCCCAGTGCGCTCTCCAGACGCTCTTTAACATCATGGCGCCCCCCGATGGTCGGACGGGACTCAGGGGCAGCAGGAAGACTTGTCCCCATTTACCGCAGGTACGTAGACACTCGTGGCTGTAGCTGTAAGCGGCTTTGGCTGTCTCTCGTTCCCCTGCAGGGTCCCGTAATGACCAAAACAGCAGGAGATGCCGAACGTGCTCCAACAGGTAATTAAGTAGGGAGGAGATAGCTCAGAGTGGAGGAGTACAAAAGGCTGCGTGGGTTTAAAGATGACCTATTTTCGAGTGGACACCCTGAAGTCAAAGTACGGTATTAAGAATGCTTAGAATACGGTCACGTCGAGTTCAATTATGAGATCAAATATGAGAAGAAACAGCTTTTTGTTGGTTCCAATCCATTGATGTAGGATATTTTATTTAGAGGTGAGAGTTTTTCTACATTCATCACAATCACTTAATAGCTTAATAGTCTGATCAACTAAAGCGTATTGCTATAGTCAATTAAAGCTGGGGTACCTGATTGACAAACCACAACCATGTAATAATGTTATACAGTTTTGAGAGGAACGAACTAGTTTGGTTCAATCACATGATTTTTTCAGATCATATTTTTCAGTCAGAAGTTTTTTTTATAAAGTTAAGAACACCCTCACTCAGCCAATCAGCTCAGAGGCTCTTTCATACAAGGATGCAAAGGATAACTTTAATGCCTTCTTGCAAATGCTTTCTAATGAAATGATGACAGCTGGTTTATCTGATGTGTTACTTTTACTAGACTTTTTCTGATGCAACAAACATAACATAATATTTATGACCAAAAAGGATTGATACCCCAGCTTTAATAGCTTGAAAGTTAAAGCTGCACTAACTCACTTTGTGACATTTTAGATTGTGAGCGTTGGCCTTGCTCTTTCTGCTCGCCCTCCCTGCATTCACAGAGCTATCCACTACTCCCCTCCCCTTCAGCGTGTGTTCATGTGATAATCGTTTACGGAGCTCACGTGTCACAATATGGATCGCACATCTGAACGTGGATGCTCTGACCATAGAATGATAGAACCGGGAAGCGCGGAGGAACGAGACTTTCTTTTGGATAGATGTTTCGCTGAGTAAGCAGTAAACGGTAAAAAAAAAAAGACACGGGAAGCTTCAGGTTAGCCTCCGCCGCTTCTAAAATAAAAGGACACGCCAGCACAAACCAGCGCTGCTTATTCTTCAAAAGGACGTATATCCCAATCACTGCATGGATATTGATTGGATTTTTGAATTGAATACAAAAATAAAGTCAGTTAGTGCAGCTTTAATCAGGATCTCTCTTCATACAGAAGAGAGATCCTGTCTTCCTTGGCTTGTTGTGTAATCCAGTACACCTTGATTATGATAACGATTCCTCTCTTTTACCGTGCAACAACAGCAAGTTCCAACAGTGTACGTGACTTCTGAAAATAGTGATTTTTGTCAGCTTGTAAGTGCAAGCTGACACCTCCATCCTAAATAGTGGGAAGCTTGGAAACAGAATTGTGTTGTTACGAACTGAAAATGCTCTAAATTAAAGCAATTATCATCCCACAGCAAAATTATGCATCCTCACCCTTAACGACTTTTCGGGGAGAATCTTCTCTGTTTGTGGAGTTGTAATTGGACTGCGTTTTGTAATTTTGCAGGATATCTTGTTTGCTCATGTGTGGCGTCTCAGTGTCTGCAAACATTCATTTAATCTGTGGCCCAAAGGAAGAAAGCAAGGAGCAAAAGCACTCAAATATGTAAAGATGCAAATCAGAACCAGGAAGTGAGGATAGAAGGGAAATAAACTAAAGAAACTGGAGCAGAAAGACGTGGATTATCTAGTTTGCGTTGAAGGGCGATCGGAAAACGTGCAAATAATTAGAATGAAAAGAAATGAGTGATAACTGTATTTCTCCTAACTATTAAAACACAGGTGGAATAAGCACACGGTTAAGTAGTAACAGTAAATGTGGAGAAATTAAAAAGATCGGAAAACGTGCAAATAATTAGAATGAAAAGAAATGAGTGATAACTGTATTTCTCCTAACTATTAAAACACAGGTGGAATAAGCACACGGTTAAGTAGTAACAGTAAATGTGGAGAAATTAAAAAGATTGAGTGTTATTTAGGCGTTGTGGTGACTTAAAGTAAAAATGTGTGCACTCCTAAACATACACACCATTTCATAAAAAAGAGTAATTGTCTGTAGTTTTACTCGAAATTTGAAAAATTGTAGATAATGGATTACGAATACGAATATGAATACAAATATGAATACTTTATTGTCACCTTTTGTCACCTTACAATACATAAAAGACACACATCCAGCAAAATATCATGTGGCACTACATTCACAGTACAATTGGAAGAACTAACTGGGAACAGAATCGCCAACAAGACCTCATCAGCCTAAAGACAAGAGTCAACCTCACGACTTCTCAAAGCTTAAGAGTGTTTGCCGCGTTCACTGCTCTGGGCACAAAGGAGTTTTTAAAAATGTTTCTCTTGGCTGATATCACTCGATATCACTCCTGGAACAAACACTGGAGAGATCTTTGTGGCTGCCCAATGTTCTTCGAGCTCTGGTTCACGATCCTTTGGAGTTTGTTTTGTTTGAACTGTGTCATTGTGTCGATTTGCATCAGTGGCTCTGAACAGTAACTTGTCATGGAAACATTATGTACTTAGGGCATAGATATTAACTTTTTTGGTTATTAGAAAACATGTCATTGTCTGCATATTGGTAAAAACAAAAAAAACTTTGAGTCACTTCTATGAGTTGAAAGCTGATTGGTTGAGTGATATTTTTTGTCTAAAATTTGATCAAAAAAACTAGTGACAGAACCAAACTGTCACTTTATTAAATTGTTCATTTGTATGTGGTTTGAAATGTAGGTGTCACAGCTTTACAATAGTGATAGATGTGTTTTATGTACTTATTTTCCGGGGGACTGCAGCAGCAGCAAAAAACTCGGAAAGTCCCACTGAGGTTCCCAAATGTCTTCTTCAGAGCAGTCCTAACGTTTGAGTGGTTGGAAAATACCAAAGTACCTGGAGGAAACCTACATAGACACAGGGAGAACATGCAAACTCCACTCAGAAAAGCCTGCATCCAACTCAGAACTTGTATTTTTACGTATACAAACCCAAACTTTAAAACATTCTAACAACACCAGCCTGTTGTTAGCATGTTTTCATTCATTTTTCTACTTTACTAATTGTTCACTAGCGCTAACCCTAACCCTTTACTTTTTGGTGTCGTACACGTTATTACATACAATCGGTTAAGCACAATCTCCTTATACCACGAACACTGGAATTTCCCCAATCATCCACAGTACTGATCGTGTGTCCATTTTCTGCTCAGTGAGAGTTTGTGTGTCTTAAATCAGTGAGTTGTAGAATTAGCGGTTGTGTTGCTGTCTCCCCCTGCGCCTCCGTCTGCGCTCTCCTCCTGATGCCGCGGCTCCCAAAAGGATTTTAACCGGATTTGTTGCACTCGTTTAGTTACACAAATCTCTGGCCGTGGAGTTTCCTCAAAGTCAACTGCTCGCTTTGGCTCCGCAGGAAAATACTGATGAAATGTCGTGTGGAAGAATATTGTGCTTTTTCACTGTGTAAATGTCCATGTATTTATTTTAATTTGGTAAAGACACAGTTATTTTTATTCATTTCTCTGTAACAATGTGGATTGAATGAATTATGACTTCAGCTTTCTGAGGTTTGAAGGGATTATTATAATTATTGTATTAAAGTGATCAAAGCACCGTCATCCTGTAGCTTTAATCTGTCCCTAAAGAATGAAAATGAGACTGTGAGTTTGTACATAGGGCATATTGTAGTTATTCATTTATTCATTCATTTGAGCATTTCTTAAAACTGATGCTGTCAACAAATTTATATGAATCCATTCCCCTCCGAAAAGAAAGTATTTGGATCGTCTATTATCGGCTTTTCCACAACTGAATTTGTTATTGCTTTTTACAGTGTGTAGAACTATGTAAGGGCTGATGTCAGATACGTTCCCGTGGTAGAAGCCTGGAGCACATGAACCACGTGCAGCCAGGCGCTCATCAGCCCAAAATATGACGTTTTTGGGTCATGGCGTGCAGTGATGCAGTTTTCAGAATACAAACTTGCATTAATCGCATGTAAAATAAATAAATAAATAAAGCAGTTAAATTGGCTCAGCGTAAACGTTGTTACTAACACATTTAACTGACACTAAAACACATTTATCACACTGTGTCAGTCACTTGCAGGAGTTATGTAAATCTTACCCAGGGATTAAAAAGCTGCTCCACTGCTCTTGAATGGTCTAATGCAGGCATGTCCAAACTCAGGCCTGGGGGCCAATTGCGGCCCTCTGTGTCATTTCACGTGGCCCTCTGCCTTGCTAACCCACAAGTTCACTGTGTCATCCATCCAACTTCAGCTCATCCAAAATAGACATGCCGTAACTCGTTCTAAAGCATAGTACGTCTGGAATTCAGTCGTTGAGCTGGTGAGATGGTAAACATTTGTTTAAACTACTTTACATTCAATCTTAAGCATTTGTCTTAAAGCTGGACTAACTCACTTTGTGACTTTGAAGCAGCAGTTTCACATGTAAGCATTGCCCTCGCTCTTTCTGCTCCCCTCCCCGCACTCACAAAGCTATCGCCCTCCACTATCCCCCTTCCCACTCAAGTGCGTGCTGTGTGCTGTTGTTTACGGAGCTGGATCATGGATCTATATTAATATGTGGATACGTCTCTTGTTTTGGCCCAAAATCAAATGGAAATGTTGCAGGTATTTTTTGTTCCTCATTTGTTTGCATGTCCCACTGCTAAAGAAGTCTCGTCAGCCTCTCTCCTTCAAACGCTTGGCCTCTTTCCGTTCTTGTAGGGACTTTCTTTTGGATGGTTGTCCCACTGTAAAAGCATAAAACCGGTAACAAAAACATTGGAAGTTTCAGGTCCGCCTCCGCCATGATGCTCGTCTACCTCAGCTTTCTGACAGATACGCGGGACAAATAACATGTAGTATAATTAAGGGGGAAAAAGTTAAGTCCCCCTGATTCAGTTAAGTAACTGTGGACGAGGACTTTCAGGTTTAGACAGGTCTAGACTCAA